TCTTCTCAGTCTACACTGGAGGGAGAGTTCAGCATGGTCGGGGTTAGGCCCCAGGTCTCTTGAGTGCTTTTGCCGCTTGGCTTCAGTGTCAAACACATCGCAAATATCACGCAGAGGATAAAAATGGGGCAGAAATTCAAAAAAGTTGAAGTGTCATATTTTTTCCTATAATTAGGTCTTCAATTTTTTGTCTGACAACAAACTGAAATGATTCCAATAATTAAGTTGTTCACATGCAGCATGCATCTTTTTAGCAATGGTTGTGTTTTCTGCACCTAGCATTGGTGGTCTAGGAGTGAGAAAAGACAGTGCCTAACATGAGCATCCAGTGTCCTGTCAGATGCACTAGGGTCAGTGCACTTGTCTGACGGACCTGTTGTTACTGATGCTGTTTCCCTTCCTAAATTAAAGGGAAAAAACACACTTATTTGTTGTTATTGTTGAGGGTCAATGGACACTTCTTTCCAAGTGTGAATAACTGTTAACTTCCCAAACACTGAACACACTTTTTTTATCCATGATAAACAACTTTGCAAATAATGAACCAAGTCCTCATGAGTAATTGACATCCAAACTCAAGCATCTAATTTTAGAAGTCTCCAATTCAGGTGTCTCCTGAGCAAGGAGCTTAATTAAATTGCCTAAACATAGGCCTCTAGGGCTATTTCAGATGCCCAAAAATATCAGAACTCCAGTTATCACTCCAGAAGGGTCTCCCATAGGTCCTATGCCATACCATTGTTGTGAGGATGTCTGTGTACCCTGGAGTATATGAAATGGTATTTGGCTCCTTTACCTGGCACCTGAATTCCACTGTAGGTTGATCAGCTGAACAGCTCTCCAGGCCATATTGACCAAATCTCCACATCTATAAATGGGAGCTTAGACATCACAATCATGTGTACAGGCCTACACAGTAGAAACTGCAATGTTAAGTGTTTGATTCTGGGTCTGAGTGCAGGGTTCGGCTACTTGAACGTAGATCTTATTCTGTCTGAGGTTTCTGCAGACTGATGGCAGATGTGACACAATACCTACAATAGACCTGCATCCTTCTTGAGCAAAATGCAGGCAAGAAAAGAAACAAAAATGAACCTAAAATGACATTGGACACATAGGTTTAAGTAAAAGAATCCAATTTTCAATACACATAATATAGCTTGAATTTCATGGAAGACAAAAAGCTCCATGTGAAATGAAGTTAACTTGAGTTTATTTGGTGTCAAATTTGGCCAGATGAAGTCTTAACCTTCAGGTTCAGGTGAGCAGAAATCTCATTTTGTGGTTATGTGTTCTTCTTTGAGTTTATCTTTGTAAAGATTTCCAGCTGTTTCCAACAGGTAAAGTGAGAAGCTCTTATACAGCTCTCATACAGCTCTCTGAAATGCCTTTTCTGTACAGCCTAAAAGCATTGATTTTTATTACCTGCCTCCAGGGCCTACTTACTGCTAATGCTCAGTATGGCTGGTTGCCTTGTATTTCAAGTAATCTCATAGCCCAAAAGCAAATTGAAATTTTAATAAATCCACCAGGAAGATGCTATCTGTATTGGTAAGATGCTCCTTGGCACCTGATTAAAACAATATCCAAAAGCAACTCGGTGTTGGGGTTTTATGGTTACAATATGAATGTTTCTGAAGAATCATAATTCATAAAATCTTCATTTTGTTCTCTCTTCCTTAATTCACAAGAGCACCAGATATAAGCCTTCCATGTACCCAAATGTAGGTACTCACCTGAGATATGCAAAATCTCCTCCTCGTGGCCTACCTTTTTTCCACCAGCAGAGGATAATACATTTTACATTGAACACAATATGCACAGAACATCACTGCGGATAGGGACAGTCCCTGGCTGAGTCCCTCTCAGCACTCATGAACCTTGCGTTACTTTCCACCCCGTGGCAGAACTCAGTAAGGCAGATGGAAGAGAACCTATGATGAATCATGCCATAGCCTAGGCACTAGGGTACCATCTGGTAGTAAGGGAGCTCAGGGTAACGACTCTCTGAGCTACATGGCAGTTAGGACTCAAGTATTTTACTTACTGAGCAAGTGCTGTGATCATTCTCAGGTTTAAAAAAGGAAGACAGAAATCTCCTTAGATATTTAGAAGCTGGAGTCATCTCACCCAAATTTAGCCTCTTGAACATTTGACTATTTTAACTAGATATCTGGATATCTAGAATCAACTAGATACTCAGTGTAGCTCTGTCAGTGGAGAAAGACAGACACTTCTGAGAGTTTCCATAGCCTCTTCAGGTGACAATTTTGATGTTGGAAGACTCACGTGCCCATTCTCTCTTCACTTTCCAGATGGAGTTTGTAAATAACTACCTGAGGCTAGGTACAAATTAATAGTGTGTTAATTAATTATATGAAGGCATCCTGGCACCAAGAACGGATATCTGTCTTCTGGTGTTTCTTGTCCTCCAAACTAAAGCCTCTAGATGACACACGCAGAGACCATGGCAATGATGTAGCTGACACTATCTGTTGAACACAAGCATTTCATTTCTATCATGGAACAGACAGAGCGGCTACTCAGTGAGAAACTAAGGGTATCCCATCTGAAAGTCAACAGGTAGATTTTGTATTTTTGAGACAGATTTATTCCATCTCATGTTAGCAACTAAAATGGATGACATTCAGTCTCTGCAGTTCAGCTAGGACCTGCTCTGCACCTGCACAGGCCAAAGTCACTGTGATAGTAATTGATATTTCAGATTGTTTTGACTACACTCCCATCTAGTGGTGCTTGCATAATACAACTTCCCCTTCTACTTTTTTGGGACTTCACTTTTTTCATGTGGTCTTTGAATTTCCCCATATTCTTATGATTTTTTATTCTTTTTAAGGCTCACCAAGCTGATGCAAAGTTGTGCTTTGCCAAGAGATACTTATTCATCAAGCTGTTGCTGTTTGGTCTTGGAGACTGAGCAGTCTGAACATTGACTGACAAATTACAGTCTACCTGGCCTTCTTAAATGCAAGCTAGGAAGCTGAGATTAAAAACCAGGACCTGGAACATTCATCTCACTTATTTGTGATACCACAGCTAGAAACACATTCACCCTACAGAAAAAGAAGATCGAGCAGCATCTCCAGCGGATGACTGAAATAGTTGGCACTCAGGTAGCTGCCTGGCATTGAATCCAGGCCCTAGTCAGTTTTAGACTTCAACACATCTGTAGAACCCAATGCTGACTTGATAGCAATGATGATCATCATAGTAATCTTTCACTCAGCTGTCATCTTATCTATCAATATAATTCCATTCAGGCCCAAAAGTAATCAAAATGTAGGCTAAGAAAACGCTAATTCCAATCAGAGTGTACAGGAAAAGAATGGTTATTTATGTGCATATGAGGTTGATGACAACAACCTCTCCAAGGCTTTTGTTTGCTTGGTTATCCCCTGCGGTGTTTCACTAGTCTCAGCTCTGAAAAGGTTTTTAAGGAGTGAGGTGAAGGGAGGAACATTCTCTACCTGACAGAATGGAAAAGAAGAGTTGGTATATTCTGTTGGCTAAAAAAAAACAAAGGAAAAGATGGAAATTATTGGGGGGGGGTGTCTTTGCCAAACGAGGAGCTCTAATTCATTTTTTTTTAAATGAGAAAATCAAGCTCTTAAAGAAAATAAAGATGGATATGAAACCTTGAGAAGTGAAAGATTTTTTAATTGGATTTCAATGTTCCTGTAGTTTCAGATAAGAAACAGTGTCGGCCTGAAAGGTTTGTTGATTGACACAGAAACGGGACACACTTCCAATATTTTCAGTTGTCAGATGTTGGCAAATTGGTTAAAAATGAGGGTTTTGAATGACTAAGAGTTTAAAGAAAAATTTAAAATTAGATCTGTGGAAATAAATGTGTAAGTCTTACAAAGGTATGCTATCATAAGTGGTCCAGATGTAAGTTATTGGATGGGTGTCCTTATATGGTCTTCACTGCTATAGTGTCTGGTCACCTCCCTGTACTGGATTTTTCTGTTCAGTTCCTTTGCCAGTATAGCCTTAACCACAGTATTGTGTCTAGTTTTGGCCACTGATTTTTTTTTTTTTTTTTTTTTAGTATTTTTGTACTAAACAAATCCAGAAAAGATCAGCCAAAGCCTCAGGAGTTTTGGAAAATGGGATTTGTAAGGAAAACTAGAGAATGAGGTGATTAAGTACACGTGAGAGGAAAATAAAAAAGATCACTATGACAAGCAGTAGGATTTATCTAAACTGTATTTTTCTGATTAAGGGTCTGGCAGCTAAACTCTCTCTGAGTTCTCAGTGACAAGAAATAGGTACTTTCACAAGATGATTCATCCTGCCTATTTTAGGGTGAATTAAACTCCTTAAACCTGGAATCCTTCATTCTACCCATTGACAAGACTGAAGGGTGAGACAACTGGAAGGTGATTTTTTGTGTGCTTGGGGGGTTCTTGGCAGAGCAAACATATGCTGAAGATGGTATAGATGTTCTTCATAGTTATTTTCATTGGTGGAAGTTGGATTCTTTTTCAGCCTCCTTCAAATAAGAAAAATGTCTGCATTAACAGTCATGCTACATACTTATATATAGTGAATATATAATATGCATCAATACATATTAGCAATGGAAATATGGCCATGTTACTATTGGAGCAATCAGACCAAATACTTTTTTTTTTTTTTCACAGCAGAAAGGAATACGGCAAAACATCTAATGAAAGAAGTTGATTTTTAATTTGCTTGCACAGACTGGAAACATGTTAGAAAGTACCCTTGTGCCAGAGAAGAAGAATGGGCATTACTTCAGTTTTAAGTGTTCTTCTTAGTACATGGAGTAATAAGTAATGTGACTCTTAGTATGTGAGAAATCTTTATAGAAATCAGGTGACAGGTCTAATAACGCAAAGACTTTTTTACTCTTTGTTTTTCTATTCTGTGAAGAAACTTTCATTAATTGAGTCTTAACTGTCAAGGTCTTCATTGGTGCTAACATTTCCTGTTTTATCACTAGAACAAAAGTTATGACAAAGCAAGAGTGGAAAAACAAAACGGTTGTTACAGAGTTCATCCTCCTGGGATTTAGGAATGGCCCCAAACTGGATTCTCTTCTCTTCCTGATGTTTCTGTCAATCTACATTGTGACCATAACTGGAAACATCTTCATCATTGTGCTGGTGGTGGCTAATCGGCACCTTCACACCCCAATGTACTTCTTCCTGGGCAATTTGGCCTGCTTGGAAATCTGCTACAGCTCAAATATCTTGCCGAGGATGTTGCTTAGCTACCTGGGTGGAGACAGAAGTATTTCAGTCAATGGATATTTTACACAATACTATTTCTTTGGTTGCTTGGGAGTTGCAGAATGCTATCTCCTCACAGTGATGTCCTATGATAGGTACCTAGCGGTGTGCAAACCCCTGCACTATCCTTCCCGTATGAACGGCAAGCTCTGTCTCCAGCTGGGTGCTGCATCTTGGATAAGTGGCTTTCTAACTAATTCTATACTAACATTCCTGATCTCAAATTTAGACTTCTGTGGGCCTAATGAAATCGACCATTTTTTCTGTGACTCATTCCCAATGATAAAACTCTCATGTAGTGACAGTCATGTGGTGGGACTTGTCACTTCTGTTGTGGCGGGTGTGTGCTCACTCCCTCCGTTTCTGTTGACCTTCTCATCCTATCTCTACATCATTGTCACGGTCATGAGAATTCTTTCTGCCACTGGAAGGAAAAAGGCCTTTTCCACTTGCTCCTCACATCTTATTGTGGTGATTCTTTTTTACTGGTCAATATTAACTGTCTATGTACTTCCTCATCACGATACCCAAATATCTCCCAACAAAGTCTTCTCTGTTTTTTATACCATTCTCACTCCCTTGGTCAATCCTCTCATCTACAGTCTGAGAAACAAAGAGGTAAAGGAAGCTCTGCGAAAACAGGCAAGTAAATTGCTGGCTTTCAGAGGGCTGCTTTCTGTTAAAAAAAGGGGGTAATAATCCTTAATGAGTTACAGGTTCAGACACAATTACATGGCATGTGAATATAGTTAATTTGAATAAAGCTTGGAAATACATAGCTGTACATCTTAAAAATAAAAAGCAAAGAAATAAAATAGGTAAATAATTTTGCTATCAGTTGGGGGGTGGTATGGAGAAAGAACATGAATATGTAGTGAACACTGTAAAGTAAGCAAAATAAATCCATGGATGTCATTGTATATGTATTACTGATATCTCCTTGCTTGCCTGCTTGTTTTCTTTTTCCTCACTACAGCCGAAATTCAGTTCAGAATAAGTTGAAACTCAATTTATAGTGGATAGACCATTTCTTTATTAATGTTACGTTCTGGATTACTCTTCGTTTTCACACCTATGGTGTAGATGTCTACATCCAAGATAGTTATCTGGACTCCCTTGATTGCAAATAAAGAGAGTGAGAAACATTGTTTGAATGTGATTCATCTGATCTATTTTGGATGTCTGGTTTTGGTTAATAGAAACCATGCTCTAGAAGGGCTCAGGTCAATGTACTAAAGAACTGCTAGCTCATACAGAAGAATACACAATGTAGACATGCAGTCCAAAATTAATTAAATACTATCCATATTTGGACTGACAATTAAAACCTTAAAGTGAAAGCAAAGCTCCCACAACAAAATTGCAACAACTTCCGAAGAAGAATGCCCACTGTGTTGATGTTTGGTGGAGAGGAGGGAAGGTAAATGGAAAGGACCATCTTTACCAACCTGAAATTAGTTCATTTTGCATGTGTAGTTTTATTCTCCTTGATAACAATTAGGAAACGGGAAGAGCTGTTTAGAAATCTTCTGTAGGTTATGGAACTGTGATTTCTGTGGGTGATCTTATATTTAACATGGTAAAAAATCAAAAGAAATAGTGGTTAGCAAAGCTTCACACTTCACTAAGGTGTCTAGCAGTGCAGTAAGCAGCGGAGAAGAGACAGCATAGGAACAGGGGTGACCATCACAGTAAGGAAATACAGCTTTTGAAAGCAGTTAGCAGAGCAAGAAACAGCTAATCGGAAACATCCCTGGGGTCTGGAGGAGGGAACGACTAGAGAGGGGATTAGCAAAAATAGGAAGGAATAGGTGCCACTTGCCACACAAAGCTGTATGAGACAGGAAAAGCTTTCTCATTACTTGGCTAAGTTTAGGCAATTAATTAGAGCTCCAAACTCAAGAATACACATCTATCTGTCCCATAGCTTATATCTTCAATAGGCCAGATTAACCAGGCCCAGAAATGTCTATATGGCTTTATTTACTATAATGAATATCCATTAATACTTAGACATCTGCAATACAAACTCTGCACGTGTGTTAGTCACCTAGCTTCCCAACATACTCACTGAATGGAAAAAGGCATTTCTACATTGTGACTTATCTGCACATTTTGGACTTTTGAGGCTATGATGAATTACACCTTAGAAGTGTCTGTTCCCCTCCTTTGATTATAGGGCAAGTGACTCTATGATAAGCTCAGATGTAGAAATTTAGGACTCAAATCACTTGACAAACGTAGGCCTTCAGTGCCGTTTGAGACACCCAGGAGCATCTTAGCTGGTCTCCAGTAATGTTCCAGAAGGACAGATCTCCTGTGGATCTCTATCGTATTTGTCAGTTTTAAGCAGATATCTTGGATACTCTAGAGCATTTAAAAAGTCACTAGATATGTCAATTAAACCACTGGATTACAGATGTCTGAAGTTAGGTATGGTGAAACTCTCTTTGACTTGCTACCAGGTTTCCTTACCTTTCACAAAATACTCAATGTGGGTCTAGGGCACTTCAAAAATTAGTTTTGGAAACCTCACGCTGAATTTCTAATTTTCTGAAGAGCTGTAGTTCAAGTAGGATAAATTTCACCTGAACTTATCCATTCAACTATAGACTTCTTAGCTAAATAACATGCTGTTACTATCTGCCTCATAAAAAAAAAGATAGCTGTCTTCAGAAGGTGATATACCCATCCTCAGGTAAATGTCTAAAACAAATGGTCTGATTTGGTTTGGGGTTCCTTTCTCTCCATCAAGGCAGACTTGATCAATAATTCAAACAAGTCATCTAACAAAGGGTGTTTTCCTCCTCCCATTACCTTCAAATGGAGAATCACACTTTGCTATTTAAAGTTTATTTTAAATTTAAATTTTAACCTAATTATTAAGTAATATAACCTTATCACATAAGATTAAAAAAAAAGTTAACTTTCATTAATTTAAATTGTTCATAGTCTGCTACAATACCAAGGGAGATGTTTTGTCTTCTGAATATACTTGGTAATGAATCCAGAGGGGGGTTCCTATCTCAGGAAGCAATGTAAGAGAGCATGTAGTTCAGAACAGCTGAACTTCACTCTTTCTTGGGGATCCTACAGGAAACTATTCACAGTCCTGAAGTGTTGCCCAAAAGGCAGAAAAAGATATCCCAGCATCTGAAATCATGAGCAAAAGCATCATACCAGAAACTCTGGATTGCTTCTCATGAAAATTGAGGTATACCAGTATTTTCTATACTATCTGGTAAGGAAAACTGGCAAGAAAAATGCTTATTATTACGGCTCCTATGATTGGAGTGTTGGGATGGAGGGATACAGGCTCTTTAGGAAGGACAGGCAGGGGAGACGAGGAGGGGGTGTCGCCCTCTATGTCAATGACCAGCTGGAGTGCATGGAGCTCTGCCTGGGGA